AAAAAAAAAAAAAAAAGAATTAACATATATTGAAGTAAAATGTATGGCAACAGTAGCACAAAGGCCAGGAGAGGAGAAATGTAAGTATACTGTTGTTAGAGTCTCAAACTATTTGTGAATTGGTATTATATCACTTGAAGATGAACTGTTGTAAGTTTAAGATATATACTGTAAACCCCAAAAGACCCACTAAAATAACATGAAAAAGCAATAGATAGTAAAGCAATGAAAAAAGATAAAATAATAAAGATAATTCAAAAGAGGCAGAAAACTAGGAGAAAAGTAATAGAACAGAGGGACAAGTAGAAAAAAAATAGCACAATAGAAGATTTAAACTCAAACCCAAATATACCAACCCTGTTAAATGTATGTAGCCTGAACATCCTCATTATGAGCCACGGATTGTCAGAATAAAAAAGCAAGAACCTGATACATGTTGCTTACCAAAAAGAAAAATAAAAAATAAATAAATACAAAGACACAAATAAGTCAAAAATAAATGATAGAGGGACACCTGGGTGGCTCAGTTGATTAGGCGTCCAACTCTTGGTTTCAGCTCAGATCATGATCTTGGGGTTGTGGGATCGAGACCCATGGTGGGCTCCACACTCAGTGTGGAGTCTGCTTGGGATTCCCTCTCTTCCTCTCCCTCTGCCCCTCCCCCCACTTGTGTTCTCCCTCTCTCTCTCTCTCTGTCTAAAATAAATAAATCCTTTAAAAATAATAATAAATAAATGATAGAAACATATATATAAATAGGCTAACACTAATCAAAAGAAATCTGGAGTAGCTGTATTAATATCAAACAGAGTAGACTTCAGAGCAAAGAATATTATCAGGGATAAAAAGGGTAATTTTATAATGACAAAGGAGTCACTTCATCAAGAGAACATAATAATCCTAAATATGTATGTGCATCATAACAGAGCTTCAAAACATATAAAGCAAAAAACTAATAGAAACTACAAAAAGAAATAGACAAATACATATCTACTGTGTGTGTGTATGTTATATATATGCTTGTATGTATATATATATATATACATATATATGTATACACACACACAATACTATATACATATTTATACACAGGCACGCACAATAGTACAGTTGGAGATTTCAACAGTTTCCTCTCAATAATTGACAGAATAAACACAGAAATCAGTAATGATATAGAAGACCTGAAAAATACTATGTGCTACCAACTTGTCCTAATTAACATTTATAGCCACTCTATCCAACAGGAACAGAATATATATTCAAGTGAATATAAAACATTTACCAAGACAGATGATATTCTGAGACATAAAACAAGCCTCAGTACATTTAAGAAAATTTAAACAATACAACATATGTTTTCTGACCATGACAGAATTAAATTAGAAATTGGCAACAGAAAGACAACAAGGAAATCTCCAAATATTTGGAGACTAACTAACATACATTTAAATAACCAAGGGTTCAAAGAAAAATCAAAATGGAAGTTAGAAAGTATTTTTAATTGAATGAAAATGAAAAAACAACATATCAAACTTATGATATGCAGCTAAAGCAGTAGGTAGAGGAAAATTTGTAACACTAAAACATCTATAAAAGAGGGTAAATCTAAAATTCATGAATTCAGCTTCCACCTTAAGAAACTAAAAAGGAAGAGCAAATTAAACCCAAGATAAACAGAATAAAAAATAATGAAGAGTACAAATTAATAAAATAGAAAATACAAAAATAATAGAGAAAATCTGGTTCTTTTGAGAATATCAAAACTGATAAACCTCTAGCCAGACTAACCAGGGGGAAAAAAGGAAGATACAAAATACTAGTATCAGGAATGAGAGAAATGGCATAAATCTATTGTTTACAAGCATATTATGAATAATTTTATGCCAATACAATCCTTTGAAAGACTACCAAATTACAAAAGCTCACTCAACAAGAAATAATTATTCAATATGCTAAAATTTTATAAAGAACTTTTATATCTATGTTCCTAAGAGATATTAGTCTGTAGATTTTGTTCAATTGAATTTTTAGTTTAAAAAAAAAAAAAAAACTTCCACAAAGAAAACAGCAGACCCAGATGCTTAAACCTATAAATTCTACCAAACATTTAAGGAAGAAATAATATAAATTCTACACAAAACTGTCTGTAAAATTTAAGATGAGAGAATACTTTCTTATACCTCTGATACCCAAACCTGACAAAGACATTACAAGAAAAAAAAAAAAATACTACAGACCAATATCCCTAAGAACATTGATGTAAACATTTTTAACAAAATTTTAGCAAATCAAATCCAACAATATATATAAAAAATAAAACACCATGACTAAGTCAGATTTATCCCAGGAAAGCAAGGTAGTCCAACATTTAAAAATCAATGTATTTCACTACATTAACAGATGTTAAAACAAAACTAAAACCCCACATAAGTATCTCAGTAGATGCATAAAAAAAACATTTGATAAAATCCATCATCCATTACTGATAAAAATCTTCAGCTAACTAGAAATTGAAGGGTACTTCCTCAACCTGATAAACAACAACAAACCCTACAGCTAACACCATGCTGAAAGGTGAAAAGGTAACTGCTTTCCTCCTAAGATCAGCAATAAGGAAGAAGGTCTGCTTTTCCACTTCTTCTTCTTTTTTTTAAAGATTTTATTTGTAAGTAATCTCTACATTCAATGTGGGGCTTGAACTCACAACTCCAAGATCAAGAGTTGCAAGCTCCACCAACTGAACCAGTCAGGCTCCCCTGCTTTTGCCACTTCTATTCAACATTGTACCAAAGGTTCTAGTTTGTGTAATAAGCAAGAATGAGAAATAAAAGGAACACAGATTAGAAAAAAAGAAGAATTATCTTTATTCACAATGTGATAGTCTATGGAAAATACTATAGAACCTATTAAAAAACTAATAAAACTAATAGGTTTAGCAAGATTATAGAAGACCAATATATAAAAATCAATTGTATTTCTATATATATTAGCAATGAATAAATGGAGATAGTAAAACAAAGCCATTTTCAACAGGCTCAAAAATTGGAGATAATTACATACACATTTAACCAAGAAAATATATAAAACTTATATATTGCACACTATAAAACACTGCTGAGAAAAACTGAAGATCTAAATAAATAGAAATATACTGTGTTCATGTAATAAACTAGGCAATAGCAGAAGAGATAAATGGAGAGTGGAGAGTGGAAGAATAACCTAGTTTGATTTAATGATTTACATCATATAAAAACATTAACAACAAAAATAAAGACTTATGAATTGTAACCATAATCTTTGAAAACTGAAAAAGAACTATTTGTAGGAGATACTCTGAACTGAGAGACAACAGAAGGCAGCACTAGAAGAAAGTGAGAGAACAAAATAAGTAAGTTGATGTTTGCCTGCAAGGCAGGATGAACATACGAATGAGACGGGCAGCAATGAAGGTTGACAGGGAGACCTCATAGAAGACTGCAACAAAATGAGGCCTTGTTGGATTAAGCCTTACAATATAAGGATACAAGGTTTTCAAAATGATTGTGACAAAACTTTAAAGTACTCAAGACTGGTTTTAGAGTAGCAATACTATATTAATATTTTAAAGGCTAATAAAGAGATTTGCTTTGTAAATAACCACAAACCTAAAGGTTGTTACCATCTAAAAAAGGGCAAATGATGTCAAAATTGTAGCGATTAACAAATGAAATTCAGGTTCTAGAATAAGTTCTTTGTATAACAAATCAAGAACATATTTCAGATTTCATCAGTAAGTTATTGGTTTACTTGTATTAACAACATTCAATCATTTATGATCAAAAAGTAAATCTGAATGCACATAACGTCATTCCTCATTATCAAATTTTCAACTTGAATAAGTATGCCAAATTATATCTTGAAAACATTTAAGTCAAATTAACTTTTGCTGGAATATTTTACTTCTATATGTTTAAAATGAAAATGTCCATAAAGGAATCTGGATACATAAAACAACAGATTTCATAAAAATATCTTAAATGCTGTGCATACTAATAACTTTTAAAATAACACATCTTCATATTTATGCTATTACAGATAACAGTAATTAATACAAATATCAAGAGCAATCATTGTAGGAATACTGGTCATTTTTACACAGCTTGGCAAATTATCAAGTACCTGCTGGTTATTAATTTTCAAACATATGGGAGCCCTGTGGTAATACACATTAAATTGATTCTCTTCCACAAATATGGCATAATGAAAAAATGAATTATTAATCTTCTCTGTAAGAAATCATTTAACTCATATTTTTGGCAATGCACAACTTAGTCTTCTACATGGAAAACAAATTAAAAACTTCAGTAAAATGTTTTATTTACATGATCATGAAAGTTAGGCAATTGTTCCCTCTATAACCCTATTCTTACATGTGCAATAGTTTTTATTACTTTATACAAGTTGCTAAACTTTTATTTCCTTAAAACTTAGATACACAAATATATATAATTCATGCATTCTCACACACAAAAAAAGTTCTTCCATTAAACTACTAAGAACTTTACAAATCATGGGTATCTCAAATCAATCAAATAACAACAGAAAGATAAATAATTTTCAACTTAATTTTTCTCAATTTCACAAAATACATGGCTGCCTTAAGTGACATCATTATATGTCAAGTTTAGAAGTATTTTTCAATAACTACTTTAAAAGTTATGATTTATATATATTTCATTTGTAGCCAGCTTTAATTTGTTTATAAATTAACAGTTTTCTAGTTTTCTAAAATCTTATGCTCCTTTTCTTTGAAGGGAAAGCAGGAAAAAAAAACTACTGTCATAGTAACATTTAGATTGCTTTTATTATGTTAGTGCCCTGAATACCTGATATCAACTACTGGCTAGCCTCAAAATCATTATAAATTATATGTTAGTAATTAGTCATGAAATACCAAAGTAATTTAAATTAGAATTAAATATCTTAAAATAAGATAAATAATTTACTATCATATTCAAGAATCTGACATGGAAATTTATATAAAATAATGTGATCTGCTGAAGCAGTAGACTTCCATGTCCCATCACACTCCAAAAGAAAGCTGCAGGGTAATTTAATCTACTACGCTCCAAAAATGGGATCTTCCCCTAGAGATCTACCACACTGAAAAAAGAGAATCCAAAGAAATGAAATAGAAAAGGCAGTTGTTAATTTAATAGAACTTTATGCTAAAGTATCTGTCAGAAAATACTAAGGTTCAACCGCTAAATAAAAGAAAAATCTACCAGCCCATATTAACAATAATAGTATTGTATACAATGCAGAAATAGTCTTCCTGGAATATGTTGTCATGTTTAAAAATATATGTGAAGAGTTTAGCAAAAAGCATGAATATATTCCAAAAGTGTTCTCTTCTATCCCCATTTTATATAAATCTGGAGTCATTCTAAAGCTGAATATAAAAAGATATGCTATACCGTTGACTACAGAATACCACAAAGTTTTATTGCCATTTAAACAAAGAAGCCATAACAGTTAAATGAGCTCAAGAAATAGGTTTCAGTATCACAAGGTGCCAGCTGTAAAGAGTTATGGCTAATTGAATATGGAACTCCTGCTTAATCAGATAACTGCTCTGCTATTTCCAAATGAAATGCCATTTCCATACTGCCTGAAAATGGCCCATTTTATTGGTAACCAGAGAAAACAATATAAACTGTAAATAACATTAAGTGCTCTGTTTACCCATTCCAGGCACTGAAGTAGCAGGGGATCCAAGACGTCTTGGTAACACATTTGATGACAGGGCTGGAGTAACAGTTCTTTCTGGGGGTCCACCAGGGGCTGAACTGTCCTTTGGTGGTCCAGGAGATACTGGAACTTGTGGAGGAGGGCCCTGGCTAGAGCTTGTGGGTGTTGGAGAAAGGTTTCTCTGAACTGCAGTTCGCTGACGAATCTCTGAGAATAAGAATTAAAAAGTGCATTTTTTATTTAATATCCATTTTAGCCAATACCACAAAATGATTCACGTTTAATAAAGTTTTGTAGCACCAGAAAGCATCTGTAGGGTCAAAACTTCTTGTAATAAGAAGTTTATAAGATGTAACATTGAAAACTGACTATAACAGAGTACTCCATTTCTGACCCTACACTTCCAACTGGATATATTTACACAAAAGTCTTGATCTATCTAGAGATACCACTTTTCAAAATAAATTCAAATAAAATAAAATCATAACCCAATTATGTGTCATGTCTTTTCACAGTAATCCTTCCTAATTTATGATAAAGGAAAGTAAGTTTATCAGAATTTGTGAAAACTCTGATGAAAATGGCAGATTTGTTTCTTCAAGAAAAATGTTAATTCTAAGAAATGAGTGAATAAGTATATTCTGGAATTATCAAATAATTTATGAGGTATTTAATCTAAGTAGTCATAGAAATGCTGAAAAAGTAGTCTTTACTATTAGGTACTATTCCCAATCTCCTTTATACTATTACTGTCTTTTTGGTAATTTTTTTTTTTTTGCCAATACATTCAATAAAGGAAAACTTCCACTCCACATAAGCAGTATCATCATAAATAAGTCTTATCTTTTAGTTGCAGAAATTACAAGATTTTCTGTAACAGGGCTGGTAAATGTGCCAAATCCAGGCTCCCGCTCCTTTTAGTAGTTTTATTAAAACATAGCAACACTCTTTTGTTTACATATTGTCAGCTGCTTTAGAAGAGCTGAGCATTTACAAGAGATCACATGGCTGTTAGAGCCATTTACTGTATTTACTATCTGGCCCTTTACAGAAAATTTCATGATCCCCTAACTCCAAAACACAAAATCCAGTTCTATCATTTCCCCTCCCCACCAATATCTTACTTGAATGTCAATGGTAAGATCTCAAGAAGTGCTTATTGCTTTTTAATTCTACATATCACCTTAAATTATCACAAATCCTGAAATAGTAGGCTGAAACTAAAGAAGTTAAATTTTAATTGGCATGACTGGTAAAAATGCATACTTCCAGAAGCAAAAAATTTTAAATTTGGACTCTATTTGACAGTTAAAGATTTTCATGAAGAGTTCATTGCAACTAAAAGTACAGCTCTAGCATCAGGTTTCAGTTCACTACAATCTAGCAGAAAAGTTTGGTTAGAATCTTGGCTGTAGCTTAGAGCAGCATTACATGACTTCAGATGGGTTAACTTCACTAAACCTCTCTTCTTTATCTGTAAATTTAGCATAATAATATTAACTCATAGAATTGTTATAAGGATTAAATGATGTTTGTATTGATAGCTCCCATTTATCAAATACATATTTCAGATGACAGTGTTTTCACATAAAATATTTTCTTTTAACTTTAAAAAGTTTTTTTTTAAGATCTTATTTATTTATTTGAGAGAGAGAGAGAGAGAGCACGCACACAAAAGCAGGGGAAGTGGCAGAGGGAGAGAAGCAGGCTCCCTCCTCGGGAGCCTGACATGGGGCTCGATCCTAGGACCCCGGGACCTTGACCTGAGCTGAAGGCAGACGCTTAACCGACTGAGCCACCCAGGTGCCCCCACACAAAGTATTTTCAAATGACCAGTTAGTGAGCTTACTAAGACAAACTAATTTTCCTCTGGCTCTTAATTTAGTCTCTAACCTAGCCACTGAAATAATAAATTACAAGCAGATCATCATGATATAAATGGAACTACCTTTATATCTGGCTATTTTCCACGCAGTTTATATAGAATTTTCAGATCTTACCTGATCTAACTGTATCCTAATATCTCCTGCGAATTAGCTGGTTACTTAATTATCTTTTACTCACAAGGAACACCTTAAAAGGTGGTTACACATTGGGAAAGCCATGAAATGCTGCAAAAGGTATTGAGGGGCCCCTGGCTGGCTCAGTTAGGAAAGCATGCAACTCAATCTCAGGGTTGTGAATTGAAGCCCCACATTGGGCATGGAGCCTACTTTAAAAAAAAAAAAAAAAAATGCTACAAAAGGTACTAAGATCATTGAAATTATATTAAGATTTGGTCATTTAAATTAATTTTTTTAAAAAAAGGTATCAGGGCACCTGGGTGGCTCAGTCGTTAAGCGTCTGCCTTCGTTCGGCTCAGGTCCTGATCCCAGGGTCCTGGGATCGAGCCCTGCATCAGGCTCCCTGCTCAGCGGGAAGCCTGCTTCTCCCTCTCCCACTCCCCCTGCTTGTGTTCCCTCTCTCTCTGTGTCGTTCTCTGTCAAATATATAAATAAAATTTAAAAAAAAAAATACAAAAAACAAAAACAAGGTATCAAATACTGTAAATCATTTTTTAGCCAATTTTCAGCTAAAACATAACTACAAAATGACATTTTTCTTCCAGATAAATAAAAGTTTAACATGTATCAAATTATATTAAAAGTAGTTATTATTCTTTCACTTCTTGAACAAAGACTTGAAATTGCTTTCTCTGAATGTGCATCTACCCTGGGACAATTAAAGTACCCTTTTAACATACATCACTCATATCACTCATGAACTACTGAAAGCTGAGGTCTATAACTAGCTAGGTTAACAAAGGACACCATGTCTAGCATTCCACGAAAGAGACTTGGCTTAATAATTTCTGAATCTAAATTTAGACAGAAAAAGGAGAAAAATGACATAAAAGAGTCAGGAAAGGGAGAAAACATAGTTTCATTGTTTCCAAAGGAAAAGCAAGTAACAGTTACAATATCAATAGGTGAAAATAGCTAGCAATACAACACCAAGTCTATATTTGGTAAGGTGTTATGAAATATTCTGGTAGTCTCAATTTAAAACATCTAAGATTTATCATTTAAATCATCTAAGATTTGCCATTCACAAATACTCTGTAATACAGTAACTCTAAAAACTTTGTTATTCAACAAAGTATTTTATCGGTTATATTTAACTTTTCCTGCATTTAAATGTAAAATACCATCCCACAAAAAAGATTTACCAAGCATTTCACACCAATCTGATAAAGTATCATAAGGAGTGTTCCATAAGTTCAATTCTTGACTGGAGGATGTTTCAACATCCTTATCAGTGATCAATCACTAAATCAATAAAAATTACACCCACCAAGTATGAGTACATGTCTATATTTTTAAATTCAAAATGAAGCAAACAGAATCTAAATGAGATTTAAAACTTCTATATTACAATAAACAAAAGAAAACAAAGTTTAAAATAATGATTAAATGGCACCTGGGTGGCTCAGTCGGTTAAAATAATAAAACAAGATAGTTGTTAAAAAGCACAGACTCTGCTTGAAATAAGTTAAAGACAAATACCATATGATTTCACTCACACATGGAATTTAAGAAACAAAACAGAGAGGGGAAAAAGAGGCAATCCATAAAACAGACTCTTAACTACAGAGAACAGAGGGTTGCTGTAGGAGAGGTGGGTAGGCAGGGTGGAGATGGGTTAAATGGGTGATGGAGATTAAGGACAGCACTTGTGATGAGCACAGGGTGTTGTATGTAAGTGATGAATCACTAAATTCTACACCTGAAACTAATATTACACTGTATGTTAACTAACTGGAATTCAAATAAAAACTTGAAACTACAAAGAAAAAAAAAGCAGACTCTGGGATCAAGCTGTGTTGATTTAAATTTCAGCTCCACCCTATTATTAGATGTACATGCAGCCTTTTCCAAGTTGCTGACAAATCTCAGTTCAGCTTCCTTTTAACAGGAATACTTACCTCTTAACTGTTGTAAAAATTAAATGAGATAAGCAATGCAAAGGGCTTAACCAAAGCACAGGTACTTAATAAGTACTTAATAAGCAAAAACTATTAGAAGTAGTATTCATCTAAAGGTTCCAGAGATTACAATAAATCAAAAGCTAAGCAATCTAGAATTTCTAAAGCAAAAATTAAAATAAAGTGTAGATATTAATGTACAAATTAAATGTTTTCCTAAACTTATTTGTGAACTTATTTAAATGTGTAAATTCAAAATTTATGCAAAAACTTAAACCTACTCTAGCTTGCTCTTAAATAATTCTTGAGATAAATGTTCTATAAGACAAATAATTCTCTTGATTTATCAGATTTTTAAACACTGATTGTTTGTAGAGGGTTTTATCTTCATTTTGGTATTAAGCTATAGTAGGAAGAATACCACACTATAGTTAGGAGGCCTGGATTTTCATCCTAGCCAATACCACCAGTTCCTAATGCAAACTAAAAAAGTCTTGTATCCACTCTGGGTTTCAAATTTCTTTAAAGTGTTGGCAAAACTACAAAGACAATCCTCATATTTTCTCTAGCACTGGTCAAAGGTTTTCTCAACATTATGTCCAGTTCTAAGCCTCATAAGAAAAAGCATCAAGAAAAAGCCTTTGAATGATTCACATATGCAAAAGTGGATATTCTTAAATTTAGGGTGAATTTGGCTCTTTATAAGTGATTATTAAATGTAGTTGAGTGAGACATGGGGATATAGCTTCAGGAGAGTTTCTATTTTTAAATTTATATAAATTCTGGTCTCTATTGTTTAAATTTATATAATTCCTTTAAATAATCAAAATAAGGACCATGCACCTGGCATCTCTTCCTTTTACTTTCAAAAAGTTCTCTAAGGTCTATATTCACTGTATCATCTTCTACATATCCTACTCATAATAAGCTACTTTAAACTCAGCCCTACTTCTCTATAAATTGTTTTCTCAATAGGTGCATGACTTTTTAGTAACAAAGTGACTCCATAACCTCTTCCTTTCCATAGAGGCAAAGCTTTGGGGAGGAAAGAAAGAGAGAAGGAAAGAAAGGAAAGAAGAAAGAAAAGAAAAGAAAGAAAGAAAGAAGAAAGAAAGAAAAGAAAAGAGAAAGAAAGAAAGAAAGAAAGAAAAGAAAGGAAAAAGAAAGAAAAAAAGAAAGAAAGAGAAACTTCCCCAACATTTCACTCCTCGACCTAACACAATCTGTTTTTTGTCCTCTTTCT